CCCATAAATAAAGGTTTGCCCTTCTATCCTCATAAATCAGCAAGGTTTCCAGAAGGCCTCTTCTAATTAGGCAACAATTCCGACTACTATTCTTGTCTCCATCTCTCTATCATCTGGCACCAGTTTCATTCTCTCCCTCCTTCTTTGTTGTTGTCAAAGCAATTCTTTTTTTATTTTTTTCCATTCAAGATCTTCCCAGCCTCATAAAAAACAAAGAGTGTGCTCTTGGGAGGGAGTTATGGAAGGAGAGGTTCCGAAGTCCAGCTTTAAAGCAGGCTGGTGAGCTTGTCAGGTGCCTGATTGTCATCACGCATCCTTGGCCGGTCACTCTCTGCCCTGATGCCTGTTACTCAGTGTAGGAAGGAGATAGCGCTGGCTGCACTCCCCAGAGTCGTCCATGCTGGGAAGGAGGGAGGAGGGTGGAAAGTTAGTGAGAGCCTGCATGAGCTGCTGCAGATGCCCAAGATAGCAGGAGACCCAATCTGTTTCCCATGTATATATTCTCATTGCTGATAGATGATGGACATCCTTTATTTAGATAATTACTATTGCTATTAAAATATTACCTGAAAGGGTGCATATTATTGGATAGAATGAGTGTCTGAGTGTTTTCTCTCTCCCACTTAATATTCCTACTGAATCATATGTTCTATTTCTTACTAACAGTGGAAAGGAAGTTTCTTATGCCTTTCTTTAGCTTATTAAGAGATAGAACTAATTTTGAGGAAATGCCACTCCAGGAATGCATTTGTTTCCCTGAACTGTGTGTAAGTAATGAGCTGAGGCAGTGTGAAAGGAAAGGGAAGAGAGGAAAGGGGAGGAAGAAAGGAGATGTGGGGAGGAGAGGTTTATTGATTGCTGCTATATGCCAGATATGCTAGGCAGTGAACGGAATACTGAAATCACCTCCTCCAACTGCCCAGAAACCAAGTGAGGTAGTCATACTCCATTTGACAGATGAGGAAATCTAGGCCCCAGGTCACATAGTTAAGGATTGAGCCAAGATTCAAACCTGGGCTTGACTAGAGCTCCTGATCTTGGTTCAAAAATCATCACTGTGGGAGAAGACTTGCACACTTGCCAAAAGATACATGCTAGTCTTCTAGGATTAAAAACACAGAGGTGCCGGGCGCGGTGGCTCATGCCTGTAATCCTAGCACTTTGGGAGGCTGACGTGGGTGGATCACCTGAGGTCAGGGTTCAAGACCAGCCTGGCCAACACGGTGAAACCCCATCGCAGGGAAAAAAACAAACCACAGAGGTGGATGACACTGGTTTTCCTTCATAGGAAAACCTTAGTTTTTATTGTATGCAGATCTTCCTGAAGAATGTTTCTAACATGAAAAATTTTAGCACCTGTCTTAGAGCTTCTCTTCTTGATTTCCTCACAGTTACAGTTTCTTTATAAACAAAGTATTAATAGAACAACTTAGGGCAAAGACTCCTTCCCCCTGTAGCATGTGTCCCCCAGACCATGTTCTCTCAAGTAAAGAGCGTGGTACCCCCCTGAAACACAAAAATTTACTTAACTATTTTTTTCTTAAGAAAAGCAAGATCCTGTTACCAAAATGACTCTTAAACTCTTCTCAAAACTTCATTGCAAAGGAAATGAAACTATTAAAAGACCATTGCTCTGTAATTCAGGAAATTGAATCAACTTGTACGGAGCCATAAGCAGAGGAAGATTTGAGCTGTACTGAGCCACATATTGTGAGATTAAACAGTGCCCTGCTCTGAAATGATTTTACCATTCGTGAACTGTCTCTTTACAACACTGTGGAACTCCTCAAATGCTTCCTTTTCTTTACTACCTAAAATTGTAGTTCTCTGCACAAAATGAAAATACTTTGTCAGATGTTCACATTTGGAGTGATTTTTTTAAACTTTTATTTTGATTTTCCTTAATGTTTCTGTAATAGTTTTTTGTTGTTGTTGTTGTTGTTGTTGTTGTTGTTGTTGTTTGAGACGGAGTTTCGCTCTTGTTACCCAGGCTGGAGTGCAATGGCGCGATCTCGGCTCACTGCAACCTCTGCCTCCTGGGTTCAGGCAATTCTCCTGCCTCAGCCTCCTGAGTAGCTGGGATTACAGGCACGCGCCACCATGCCCAGCTAATTTTTTTGTATTTTTAGTAGAGACGGGGTTTCACCATGTTGACCAGGATGGTCTCGATCTCTTGACCTCGTGATCCACCCGCCTCAGCCTCCCAAAGTGCTGGGATTACAGGCTTGAGCCACCGCGCCCGGCTGTAATAGTTTTTGAATGAATATGTCTTTCTGATAAATGAAAGATACATGATACATAGATCTTGAGCTTGAAGAATTTCTGCTATAAGTATTGATGATTGAGATTGGGTGATAGGTTCATGACAGCTCATTACGCTGTTGCTCTACTATTAGTGTGTATTTTAAGTTTTTCATAATAAAATGTTTAAAATATGTTTGTAACTCTGCAGAAAAATTTAACTCACATTGTCTATGTTTTTCCTGTACTGCTCTACCCAGAGAGCACAGTCTTTCCACGATCCACCCACTAATTTAACACTGGTCAAATTTAGGCATATTGAGCAGAGAAAGGAAGGGAAGGGAGATAAATTGTGATTGGACTCAAGAGCTATGATATATATGGTCCTTCTTGGCTTAATTAAAGTCTATGACAAGAACAGCTGTCACTCACATTTTAGATTCTAGATTGCTGCTGTAATAGTAATGAATTGCTGCAGACCAGGCAAGAAACAACACGTTTTTTTTTGTTGTTGTTGTTGTTTTCTCCAAAAGCTAATTGAAGGTCGGGAGTGTTGGCTCATGCCTGTAATCCCAGCACTTTGGGAGGCCGAGGCAGTCAGATCACTTGAGGCCAGGAGTTACAGACCAGCTTGGCCAACATAGCAAAACCCCATATTTACTAAAATCACAAAAAATTAGCCAGGTGTGGTGGTGCACATCTGTAATCCCAGTTACTCAGGGCACTGAGGCATGAGAATCGCTTGAACCTGGGAGGGAGAAGTGGCAGTGAGCCGAAATTGTGCCACTGCACTTCAGCCTGGGTGACAGAGTGAGACTCTGTCTCAAAAAAAAAAGAATGAAAGAGAGAGAGAGAGGAGAGGGAGAGGAGGGGAGAGAGAGAGGGAGAAGAAAGAGAGGAGAGGGAGAGGAAGAGGAAGAAGAAGAGCGGAGAAAGCTAATTGAATGTAGCTCCAAGCCCTCGTTCTCAGTTTTAGAAAGCCCAATGTCAGTGATTGAACACCTCCTTTTAAGAAAATTGATTTAAAACTTGTAAAGAAGTCAGTTATTTCCTTCATAGGAAAGCTCTAGTTTCTGCTGTATGCAGATCTTCCTCAAGGATGTTTCTAACATGAAAAATTTTAGTAGCTGTCTTAGAGCTTCTCTTCTTGATTTCCTCACAGTTACAGTTTCTTCATAAACAAAGTATTAATAGAACAACTTAGACTGCTTTGTACCTTTTTAATATCATCCCAGAACACTGTGTAACAAGCCCTCCTAAAGATGATTTTATGCTCCGGGCCCCAGCCCTGTCCAGTATGGTAGCTGCGTGTGGCTGTTGAGACTTGAAATGAGGCTAAGTACAACTAAAGAACTGAATTGAGATGTACCATAAATGCAGAAAGCACACTGGGTTTTGAGGACTTACAACAACAGCAACAAAAGTCTCCATAATGTGTATATTGACACATGTTGAAATGATACTATTGTGAATATAGGGGTTTAAATAAAATAGTCAAATTAATTTTACCTATTTGTTTAACTTTAAAAAAATGTGGTTAGTAGAAAATTTAAAATTACATATGTGCCTCATATTACGTTTCTGTTGGAGAGTGCAGCCCTAGAGTTTATGAGAAGGTAACTTTAACTAATTATTTACTCTTGATTAGAGTCCAGACTGTGAAGTTAGATGTTAGCCTGTAGATGATTAATAAGCTGCAAATGATTTCTATTTATAACCAAAAGGTAATCCCAAAAGTTTGTGTTTTTATGGCTCTAGAACATAAATTGTTTTGTGTCCAGCTTGGTAGATTTCATCCATGTTTTATTTTCCTTAACAGTTTGACTAGATTTACCTCTGATAGTTGTATCAGTCAAGATCTTGTTATATGACAGAGCTGGAAATTCTCTAGCTCTTCTTGTACTAAAAAAGATGATTAGTCCTGATGATCAAGTGATATAATGGATATAAATTTAAGTGTTACTCTGTGAATTGTTTATTATGCATATATTTGGAATTATGCGTCATTGAATTGTGCTGCTTTGCTTCCTTAAAAGGACAGTGAAAGGGAAGTGAAAATATTGAACAATGCTGATACTGAATAACCCCTATTTTCTTTCCCTCTGTCTGCTCCTGTGTTTATGTAAATAAAAGCAGAGGAACTGTGATGTTTTAAAATTCCAGATCTCCATCCCCAAAGAAAGCTTTCCAAAGGTCCTCATTCCCAGCTTCAACCCATAAAAATGTCCTGCCCTCCCTATAGGGTATGTGCTGCCCTCCTCCTCCCACCCATAAGGAAGAGGGTTTTGTTGTTGCTGTTTTGAATGAGCCTGTCATAAAAGCAGCAGAAGCCATTTGACAGTAGCCATGCTACTGTTTCCAGGCACCCAGAACTCCTATTTGTAGCTTCCTTGAACACTTGCTTTCTAACCCTTTTGAAATCAGAAGAGATAGGGTAGCAAATAGGAACCTGTTGTATATCGCATTTGGCTATTTGTTTGTTTGTTTGTTTGTTCATATTGTCAGATCACTACCTTGACTCTAAGGAGACAAGACCATAATAAAAGACAGTGTACAAGACCTGAGGTTTTAAGCTCCAAATCTCTTAGCTACCAAAATAAATAAATACTGCAGAGCCGTTTGTGAGCAAGAGAAAACATCTAGACAGAGTAAGGCTAAAGTCCTTTTTCCTTCACCCCTACCCTTTCCTCTTCTGCATCTAGAGATTTAGAAAATCGCTATAACCATGAATTATTAGGCATGATGTTTTATTTTATTAGGTTGGAATGAAATACAGAAACCTAATCCTGAAACCTGGGGGATCTCTGGACGGCATGGACATGCTCCACAATTTCTTGAAACGTGAGCCAAACCAAAAAGCATTCCTAATGAGTCGAGGCCTGCATGCCTCGTGAACTGGGGATCTTTGGTAGCCGTCCATGTCTGGAGGACGAGTTGACATCACTGTGTGTTACTGGCCTGGAAACTAAAGGGAGTTTTGCAAATGAAAATTTAGATTTTTATTGATGTCCTTTTGTTTTGTAATTTTAAAAATTATAAAGATATAAATGGAATTATAAATACTGTGACCTAAGAAAAGACCCAGTAGAAAGTAATTGTACTATAAAATTTCATAAAACTGGATTTGATTTCTTTTTATGAAAATTTCATATGAATGTAACTTGATTTTTTACTATTATCTAGATAATATGATATAAGAGGGCTAAGAATTTTTAAATTGAGTCATATACATGATCTGATTTAATCCTTCTTGTATCTTGAAGTTTTGTACTTGGGATTTCTGTACTGATAAATGAATCATCACATTCTTCTGGTAAATATTTTCTTGGAGCTCTGTGTCAACTTTGATCCTTTGTCTCCCAGGAAGGTGTAACCTCTCCTTTGCCTGCATACCTCAAGGCCAGGAGAATATGCCTCAGTGATGCATTTATCTTTGTATATCAGGCTGCACGATTCCCAACTTTCTGCCACATTTAAATTACGTTCTTCCATTTGAGTTTGTATTCTCTGTGTAAAGTCCAGTCAGAGAGCATCAGAAAATTATGTTTCAACTAGGCTGGTCTAATAAGTTTTTGTATCTTCTATCAGAGGATTTCGTAGTTTATATTAGAGGCTCATTTCCACTTCAGCATACAAGATCGTCAGTCTTTTGGCATGTGTGCCAATTAGAATACTAAAGGTAGTCCAAGCACATTTTTCTCTTCCCATGTTTCTAATGAGTGTTAGGGACTTTGCCTCTTTTACTGACCATGTCCCCAAAAGTGTCAGGTACATATGTCACAAATGGCTCTGTAGAGAGCCATGGGAAGAGAGAGGGAATGGATGTGGAACATAAAAGGTTCAGACACCCCAGAAGAGGAGTAGGTTTTGGACAGGAGCATTTGAGGACGGCCGCTCCAAAGCCTTATGTGTGTGATGAAACTCACTGCAGGGAAGACACTCTTCAGTAGCCTATTTCAATTCTGGCGATTTTTATTTTAAGTGAACTGTTGAATCTATCTTTAACTCTCTTTATTGTAGTTCTAAATTCTGATTCTACAGCAGACCAGTAAACTCACAGTATTTCTTTTTCCTGTAGGAGTCTATTCAATAAGGAAACCAAGACAGGATAATAAAATTAAAAAAGAAAAAAAAAAAAAAAAACTTTGAATGTACCCTGCCTAAGTCTTCCGGTTGTTTTCCATTGCATACCTCAGGTATGACTTTACTGGCTAGAGACAAAATTAGCACCTTTCGATTCTCTGGTGCAAGTGGACTTTGTGCTAAATTAAAAAAAAAAATGATTATACTACGTAATAAAATTATAGACAGCAGGAAATTCAAGAGCTAGGAGATTCCTAGATTATAACTGCCAAGCAAATACCTTAAACATCCACCTGAAATCCTACTGTCCTCTCTTGTGAGATAATTTCCCCAGCCCTTCTTGTCCCCACACTCACTTAATATCACCCCCCACCCCGTCCCCAAAACTGTTTTCGTGGTCTTTGTAGCCTATGGTTGTTTTCCCATATCTTCCTCCCAACCCCCAAACTTTTCTGTTTTCCAGTGTCAGACAAAAAACTCTTCAGCTTTTTCCAGTGTGTTTCCTTAACAGTAACTTTACCATTTGAAATCTTATTTCACACAGGAAAACTAAATTGGTGTGGAAAGGCTGCACACAATAAAGTTACATTATTAAACATGAGAACGAACTCATATTTCTTTCATACTTCAGCATTAAAACTGAAATGCATGAGAGCAAAAGCACCATGGTGTTCTTTTTATTTAGGGCCTACCGCTAATATTTAAAATCTACAAAAGAACAGTCACAAAATTAATACTCAGGCCAGGTTCAGTGGCTCATGCCTGTAATCCCAGCAGTTTGGAAGGCCAAGGCAGACGGATCACCTGAGGTCAGGAGTTCAAGACCAGCCTGGACAACATGGTGAAACCCCATCTCTACAAAAATGCAAAAAGTAGCTGGGCATGATGGCTCGTGCCTGTAGTCCCAGCTACTCGGAAGGCTGAGGTAGGAGTATAGCGTGAACCCAGGACTAAGAGGTTGCAGCAAGCCGAGGTCACACCATTGCACTCCAACCTGGGTGACAGAGCGAGACTCAGTCTCAAAAAAAAAAAAATTAATACTCAAAAACTTCTCTAACATAATTCAAAAGAAAGGACTTACTTTTTAAAACCTTTTTGAATGTGGCCATCTATCTAGTTGTTCTTTTTTTCTATATCAGAGCAGATAGTATCACTGACATGCTTGAAATAGTGGATAACTGGAAATTGTAATTGGACAAATGTACACTTAAGACTTATAGACTGAGCCACGTGTAATAAAGTCTCTCCTGGTAATTGTTCCAGGAGATTTAGGCCTTTTTTTTTTTTTTTAAGGCATTGTTATGTTGTGAAGGATAAAATCAAACCTCTTATGCTAATGGATAGTAGGCATGATCCTAAAGGTTTAGTTTTACGACACTGCAGAGAAGAGAAATGTCTTGACGTTATGCCACCCGATGTAGACTTTGTCCCCCTCTAGTATAAATGTTGCATGTTACCTAGATAAACAACTAACAATTGCCTTGAAGGGTTATCACCTGAGCTACTTAGGCCAGGGTCTTGCCTTTCTAAAGCTAATAAGGTGAGAAGTGGATATCTGTAGCTCTTTGGGTGACAAATTGCATTGTGGAAGAGGCGAAAATTGAGGAAATAACTCTTCAAAGAAAAATGTGTGATATGATCATTGTACTTGTAAATGCCTTAACTAATAGGCAGTGACTCAATTTTCTACTTCACCGTTTTACCTTTAGCCTTTATGTATGAATTAAAGGTCTGTGGAGATCCTGCCACCCCACTAGGCCAGTGTGTTTGTGTTTTACCATTTATTCATTTTCTATCATATACAGGTGGAACTTTCCAAGTGCCAAGGAAATTGTATTAAAATTTACATTGAAATACTGTCTTCAGGCTGCTATAACCAAATATCACAGAGTGGGTGGCTTCAAAAGCAGACATGTCTTTCTTACAGTTCTGGAAGCTGGGAAGTCCCACAAGCCACATGCTGGTAAATTTGGTTCATGGTGACGCCCCTCTTCCATCCACAAAAGTGTCAGGTAGACATGTCATAAATGGCTCTGTAGACAGCCATGGGAAGAGAGAGGAGGCGGATGTGGAACATAAAGGGTTCAGAAACTTCTGCAGGCAGCAGTGGCAGGGAGCAAGTCCTCGTGTCTCTTTTTACAAGAGCACGAATCCCATCATGAGAGCTCCACCCTAACAACTAAGCCCAGTCACCCTCCACAACGGCCCCAACACCTAACCCCATCACACTGGCAGTTAGGGCTTCAATGTAGGGAAGAGGGCACAAACATTCAATCCATAACGAATACTGATTCCTCAAATAGGGTTTAAACATAGTTAGCTGAGCCGCCTAAGAATGTTAAAAGAGAAAATCCATTTTAGTTGAATAGAAACAGTGACCAAAGCTGCTTCTCTCAAATCAACATATAACAGTTAGATGTCTCCCATCTGAAATTGAATAGCCCATTGAAAGTGAACATGCCTTCTCCTAAATTTGTGGTGAGAATAAAAGCAAGAAGGAACTGCATGCAGTGGCTCACACCTGTAATCCTAACACTTTGGAAGGCTGAGGCGGGAGGATCCTTTGAGCCCAGGAGTTTGAGACCAGCCTGAGCAACATAGTGAGACCTCGTCTCTGCAAAAACTAAAATGATTAGCTAGGGATGGTGGCACATGCCTATAGTCCCAGCTACTTGGGAGGCTTAGGCGGAAGGATTACTTGAGCCCAAGGAGGTCAATGCTGCCATCAGCCATAATCATGCCACTGTACCCTAGCCTGGGTGACAGAGGCATACCAGTTCTTTTGCAAAGAACTGATCTTATGTAGGTCTTTTAAACAGACCTTAAAATTTAAAAGAAAAGACATATAAAAGACCTTAAAGGGCCGGGCGCGGTGGCTCAAGCCTGTAATCCCAGCACTTTGGGAGGCCGAGGTGGGTGGATCACGAGGTCAAGAGATCGAGACCAACCTGGTCAACATGATGAAACCCCGTCTCTACTAAAAATACAAAAAATTAGCTGGGCATGGTGGTGCGTGCCTGTAATCCCAGCTACTCAGGAGGCTGAGGCAGGAGAATTGCCTGAAGGTTGCGATGAGCCGAGATCGCGCCATTGCACTCCAGCCTGGGTAACAAGCGCGAAACTCCGTCTCAAAAAAAAAAAAAAAGACCTTAAAATTTAAAAGAAAAGACCTACATGTGCTCAGTTATTTGCAAAACAGTTAACACCCAAAAAGTTTATTTTTTGAGTCATCTTTAGTGGGGAAATTTCCCACTGGAAACAGATTCACCTAAGTGATTAATAACTATATCAAGGCAAAAGGTAAAGGTTGTAAGATGTAAATATTAGACCAAAATAGACTTTTTCAACAAACACACAACAATGCTGTAAGTTTGTAACAAAATAAAATTTTAAAAATTGAGGTAATGAACACAACCATGTACACACCCCCATATCACACCATGAGTGATTCTTGAGTTTTTATTTGGTTGAATTCACCTTGTAGTTCCCTTTCCTGCAAAAATATACGTTCAACACATCTAGTCCATGATGTACGTACAAGGGGAAGGGGTGAACAGGAACTAGGCTCCCTTGTTCTGCTCACATGAGCTGAAACCTATACTAGCTGTGTATTTCACAGACCCCAGGGGTGCACCTCAATTTACTCTCATAATAAACTGTCTCTAGTATTTGTCATGAGAGAAACTATATGGCTAGAAATAGTTCATAAGAACTGTTCACTGAGTCCAGCAAGACACTGGCATCGCTGTTGACATCTTTGTGGCTAAGATGGAGAATGTGACTTAATAGTTATACAGGTGGATTCCTAGCTATTGAAACAGTCTGAGATAGTTACATAATGATTAACGTTAAACTAGGGGTAATTTCAAATTATTTGGCTAAAAATGAAAAAAAAAATCCCATGAAAAGTTATCAAATTTACAGATGGCAGGGCTAGAGTTATTAAGTATGATGATGTTATTAATATTTAAATTTATTTTGGCTGGGCATGGTGGCTCACACCTGTAATCCCAGCACTTTGGAAGGCCAAGGTGGGTGGATCTCCTGAGGTCAGGAGTTCAAGACCAGCTTGGCCAACATGGCAAAACCCCATCTCTACTAAAAATACAAAATTAGCCTGGCATGATGATGGATGCCCGTAGTCCCACCTACTCGGGAGGCTGAGGCAGAAGAATCGCTTGAACCCGGGAGGCGGAGGTTGCGGTGGGCTGACATTGTCACTTTACTGCAGCCTGGACAACAAAGAGAAACTGTTTCAAAAGCAAAAAAAATATTATTATTATATTTTAAATTATGTCAATGTGGAGACAAGCTCAAAATAAAATTAAACACATTTCATTACCAAGGTAAAAGAGAAGCCTGACTCGATAGTCGTATGCAGGAAAAAAAGAGTTGGCAGCTTTATTTGGCCAAATTCCAATATCAGCTCATAGTACAGCACACCTGGGGAGGAGAGCAGGAGGCGAAAACGAAGGCTTTTTAAGAGTGTGTTGATGGAAGTGTGTGCCCAGATCAAAAGAATAATCCCTCCAGACTGCAGTATAAGATCAATCACTGTTGGAATATTGTGTTCCCTCCTAGGTATCACATTTTAATCAGACTTTGGCCAAGTATTACAGTGTTTCCAGGAGGAGGAAGAAGTTGGTGGTAACTTTGAAAATACTTCTCAAAAGAAATATATCAAGATAATTTGGGAAGTTCAGTCTGGAGATAATTCAGAAATACAGATGATAATTGTTTTCAAATATTTGAAGGATATGGGAGAGAGAATAGGCTAATTCTGTATTTCTTCAGAAATCAAATGGAAACAATTAAATTCCATTAGAGAAATGGTTGGAAAATAGGACGAGGCTTCAGTTCAGTATGAGGAAGCCATTTCTAATAATGATTGTTGGTTAAAAATACATTCTGCTGCTGTGAACAGCCTGTAGCTGCCATGAGTGTTTCAGAGGACATTCCTCCTTTGAGTTGACATTTGTGCCAAATCAGCTTTGAGGGCTTCTCCAGTGTTTAAGATGCAATAATGATAAGATGCTCGTTGGAAAAAACATCCCTCAGATGAAACAGTCACAGGCTGGCTCTGAGAACTGGCATTCAGATGATTGTGGCTCCCCCCTACTGCAAGAATATTGTTTATGGGTTCAGGTTGGCTCACTCCTCACCTGCAATCAAAGTTTATCCAGAGGTTAAGTTACCAGTTTTCCGGTGGGTACCTGGGAACTGAGGCTAGGAGACTAACAGTTGTATATGACCATAATAAAGCAAAAGACTGTTACAGAATGAATAAAGGTTCATTTTCTTCCCTTACAGAGCTTACATTTACTCTCTGTCCATTCCACTCACCACTGTCTTCACCACACACACAGAGGCCGACATCTGATTCAGATATCCAGGTGCGCCATGCATGTACTCCACCATGCTGTGATCTCTTCGAGGCTTGTTTCTGTCCCCAGTCCTCCACAGTCCTGGACTGTTAATGAATAGTGCATATGTGTTTGTTAATAAATATACCTTCTTTAAAATTATCTTTTGTTATAAAGGTGCTTTTTTTTTCTATGATAACTGCAAAATACCTAATTTGTAAATAAACCTAAAACTATA